AACAAGCAAACCTGAGGCAGCAAGCTAGCTTAGTGGGTAAAGATAAAGATTTGTTTCCAAGCCTGACAACCTGGTCCCATCCTTGGGACTCTTGACATTTGCTCTCTCTCTCTCTCTCTCTCTCTCACTCTCACACACACACACACACACACACACACACACACACACACACACACACACTGTAATATAATGGAAAACCCACAAAACTTAAACTTAGCTGAGCTATGGTGGTGAGAGCATTGTCAGATGGGAATGTAAAAGCCTAACACCAGGTAAGTGTCATATGTGCTTGCTTACTAGGTGATTATGGGTCCTGGGTATGTTCATTTTTCATCCTTAGAAGCTGTATAATTGAGTTCTTCATAGCAGCAATGGCAGATTATAGAGACAATGTCAGCTAAGTTTTAGTATTAAATCCTTTACAAATTGCAAACATTTTATGCTTATTTCTTCATCAAAGTTCAGGAGTTCAGTGGTCATGAGGACTTAGGAGAAGGCTTAAATTTGCTAAACAGCATAAGATATTTATAGTCATGTTTAGCAATGATAATATTCATACACACACACACACAAGTACAAGGATTATATTCCTAATAAATTTAGTAAGTTTTTTTATATTGTTTCTTATTTTTTGATAGGTGGTTTGTGAAGAAGGTGACAAATTAACCTATTCAAAGTATGGACGGTTTTGTCATGAGGTCAAAATTAACTATTCTCCATATGTGAATTACTTCACTCGCGTGTACTGGAACAGGTCCTACTTCGTATATAAAGTCAACACTGTGATATCCTTCCAGTCTTGAAAATATCAGAGCCTTCACTTCAAAGACCTGCTACTTGAAGTAGAATGCAGTTTTCTTGGACCTCCACAGTGTCTTGCAGATGGAGTGTGGATACCTGGAGTGCTGTGGCTCTTCCCACGCCTGCTGCTCATTCCTGGGTTTAGGGTTTTGTTGGAACAGGAGATCAGACGTCGCTGTCTTAGTAAAATGTCAAATCCACCGCTGCAATCTTCTGACAGCTTTCTTCCTTAGTACACGATTTAAACATTTCCCCGCTGCATCGTCTCCTTATAAATCTTACCTATCATAATATTGATCTTTAATTTGGGTATTTTCACGGTCAGTGTTTACGTCAAGAACATAATTTTTAACAAGTACTTAATGTGTGATTTTATTCTATAGAAGAGAAAATTCTCCAAGCAAGTTTGTAACAGATGTAAATTTTTTACAATTAAAAAAAATTTAAATGTTAGTTAAAAATATGTGACATTTAAATTTAAAGGGAAATAACATAAAGGAAAGTGATTGTTTTTATGATACTGATCCTGTCATCTGCTGCCCAAGTGATGTAGCACGTTTTTAGCAATACATAGGACGAATTAGTACATTTAATTATTTCATGACTATGAAGTGATTGCCTTTTCTCACTTATGCCCATTAAGTTGATAACAATTTAATCATGCTAGAACGATAACTTGTGTTTGTTATATATATGTGTGTGTATATATTTATGTACACACACACACACACACACACACATATGGACATTTAAAAGAATTTTACATTTTTTTGGATGTGGAGTATACAATTCAATCACATGTTTTCTATGGACGTATTAAATAAAAATAATTAACACTGTCACAATAGTAATATGTACACTACCATGGGCATCAGTTTCTGGAGGTGTCTGCAGACACTTTTAAACACACCTCTGCATATAGGTGTATTGGTTATAAAGTATAACCAATAAAGTGATGTTATTCATGAAACATTACATGTTTAACAGAGCAAAATGAGAGTTAAATAAAATTTTCAATAATTCACAGTATAAATGCCACATTCCTTTGTGTATTTTCAATTTTGTATCATTAAAAGAAATTCTAAGCCAGTGTAGTGACTCGTGCCTTTAATCCCAGCATTTGGGAGGCAGAGGCAGGCAGATCTCTGTGAGTTCCAAGACAGCCAGAGCTACATTGTCAGACCCTGTTTGTGGGGAGAAAGAAATTGTAATTAATTTGGCCTGTTAAAGAGATTCAGGATAGATGAAGCCTGTAGAGAAATGATTTCAATAAAATGAATATTTAATTTTATATTATACAGTTGTTCAGTGCACAGGTTCTCTTTTTATTTGTTAGAGTGCTATAAAATTGCATTTTCAGAACTCCATATTATTACATTAGGAGGAAAAATATTTTCTTTTTGTAATATATATATGTACATTTTTTTTCTTTTTCAAGTATGTGCACTTCTTTAAGATGCTTTACCATTGTGCAGCTTGACTGACTTCTGTCATACCATCTGGCTTAGCGTCATTGGTCCTGTTTGCTCTTTTACGTACTTATTTTAACTACAGACAAGCAGCTGTGGCAGCGGATCTGACTGTCTGAAAACCTTGGTAGTCAGTAGTGGTTAGCATCGGGCTTCATGAAAACTTACCAGCTACTCAAGTACACAGTGAGTAGTCATGTGGTCATCCTTAAGGGTGAAATGAAGCATGAAGAAACAGCTTACATAGTGTAAAGGGAAGCCCAAACCCTGTTTCCCTTGGAATAGGAAGTATTCCGTTGAGTTTTACTGACATGATAATGTGTGGTCTTTTAGTTTTTGTTTTGTTTGCTGTAATAGTAAGTTGCTTTGCTTGTCAACATATTTCTTAAATAGATAGAGAATTTTTTAATTAAAAGTTTATAAGTAGTCCCAGGCATGGTGGTGCACTCTTTTATTCTTAGCACTCAGGAGGCAGAGGCAGGAGGATCTCTGGGTTCAAGGCCACCCTGGTCTACATAGTGAGTTTCAGGACAGCCAAAGTTACATAGTGAGACTCTCTCAAAAATACAAAACAACAACAACAGCAAAAAGGTTTATAATTTTTACTCAGCATCAACTGAAACAGAAAAGTAAGCTTTATTGTAGAAATTATAATATTGGCTATGACTGTGTAGGTCAGTGGCATAGTGCTGGGTTAGCATACACAAGGCCCTGGGTTCCGTCTCCAGCACTACTGGGAAAAAAAAATAAAAAAGAAGGGAAGAAAAGAGAATAAAATGATAATGTTAGGTATGAGAGATAAGTTGATTCACTTCCATCTTAACTGTCACTAACAGGAGAAAACTTTGTGTTGAAAGCATTTAATTATTTACTTAGTAACTTGTGGAGTAACAGGTGAAAACCTCTGCAAGTAGTTCTTACTGCGCAACCTAGCAGCTGTCGGGTTCAGCAGTGAAGCCCCGTTGATGAAGCAGAGTTACGAGAGTGAATTGGAAGAAATTCCTCAAAGAAAGAGAAAACATTTTTGCTTTTAATATAACAAACCCATCAAAATAAGTGCCTTAACTTCTTCATTTATAAATTCATTTTCTATTTCATATCATATTACTCATTCTCTTTTCCATAAGAAAATATTGGTAACTTTTTCTACATTGAAAAAACACAGTAAGGCTGAGGAGGTAGTCCCATGGCGGAGCACTTTCCTAGTGGACAAGAGACCCTGGGTTTATCCCCAGCACAACCAAAAAGTCAAATGTCTCCATGCCATTGTCACTGTTAACTTCAATTCAGTAATAAGCAAATCTTTGTCAGGAACAAAGTCCCCTAAGTCCATTTATGTAGCTTCTTGAATGCCAAATAGTCCACAAATGAGACTGATGTGACAAGGGAAGTAATATGGACTCGGAGTTTAGTAATGTTTTCATGACGTTGGCATCTGTGTCCTGGTGTTTTGCATTGTACTGGCAGACTTTTACAATCTATGTGATGTACTTCAGCACTAACTTTACTCACACACACACACGCACACGCACACGCACACGCACACATGCGCGCACAAGGTCTTGATTCTTTCCAGGTAAGTAACCCAAATTGCTGTACCAGCCAGATTTAGTCAGCAAAGAAGGAGAAATGGAAGTCAAAGTATTCACGATTCGTGGCTGAAAAACATGCTTCAAATAGATTATTAATTTCTTGTATAACTCTTTTATTAAATTACTTTAGTTTTGAGAAATCTTCTTTGGGACCTCTTATTTTTGAATTGCTAACACATTTGATGCCTCATTTTGTATAAAAGTATTTTTTTCAGTTGGCTGAGTTTTCAACAGTTCTATATAAACTGATCTTTTGGTAAATTTATTTTTAATGCATGAATATCTCAAGGACATACGCTACTAATTCTGTATATTTAAGAACCTTTTTAAAGCTAATAATTGCTTTCTAATTTGTATCTTAGTATCCTTTCTTCTTTTATCCAGCTTTTAACATATCTAGTCTTGCTCTGTGTGGTGGTGCACACCTGTGATCCAGCATTTGGGAGGTAGAAGACAGGAGGATCAAGTGTTCAAAGACATCCTTAGCTACATCAGTGAGTTCGAGGCTAGCCTGTGTTGCATGAGCCCCTCTGGAAAAAAAAAAATCCAAAAATTAAATGCAAAGTCTCTATTGTTGCTATTTGCTAACAGTGTTTAGACTCAATGTGTATTAGAATTCTGGCTCTGGCCTGGCAGTGGTGGTGCACATCTTTAATCCCAGCACTGGGAGGCAGAGGCAGGCAGATCTCTGTGAGTTCAAGGCTAGCCTGGTCTACAGAGTGAGTTCCAGGACAGCCAAGGCTACACAGAGAAACCCTGTCTCAAAAAACAAAAACAAACAAAAAAGAATTTTGATTCTGCAAATTACAAGGAAAATCAAACAAGTTCTTGCTAAAATTACTGAGTTTTTTAATGTATAAGGTTAATGCTTTAAATAAAATTAGAAGCAATGCTACAAATATATATATATGACAGCTTATTTTCTTAATAATATATTTGCTTCCATAATAAAATGGACATTTTGGAACCAAATGTGTTAAATTCAGTATCAAGGTTTCTTTGGATTGTTTCTGCTTCTGTCTCCTGGAATGGCAACATTGTAATCTTGACATACAGAATACTATGTGCAATTCTATGAGCAGTAGACTTGACTTGTGATTGTTATCTGTATTTTGTGAAATGATGGCATAAGAGAAAATTCAGTATCATATAAATTACCCTTCCCTGTTTTGAAGCCAATGGCCTTGTACAGATGCTAACAAGAGTGAACACAGCTCCCTTTATGTAAGTTGGTCTGAGTCATATCTACAATGATGTGTATTTAGATTATATGTGTTCCTCCTGTAACCGAGGTTACATCTCTGCAAAATTATACAATGTCAGTAAATACAAATACTTTAAAAGAGTTGTCTATAAACAGTTTTAGTCCATATTTGGTAACATTAATATTCGTTTTTCAGTAATGAAGTTCTTTCATGCTCGTTTACCCTCGTTTTGTTTTTATAATAAAACTTCTTAGAATTTTAAGCTGTCTCTTATTCATGCTTGTCAAATTTATTGAGATATAATTAATGCATTGTTCAACTCACTCATTTAAGTGTACAGTTCAGTGGTTTTCAATAGTATTCAAGGTTATGCAGTTATCACCACAACCAATTTCAAGACATATTCATCACCTCCCACAAATAAGCTCTATTCCTTTTAGCTATCTACTGTAACCACCCTGTCCCCAGCTTCAGGCCCCTCTCACTAATCTACATATATTTTCTCATTCTAGACATCACATATAAATGGAATTATACATTTGATGGTATTCAATGGCTGGCTGCTTTCACCTGACATGACATTGTCAAGGTTCATTCATGTTAGTGTGAAATATTAAGTGTATCTATCTCTTTCAGGTTCTGTCTTTCTAGAGCAGTGGTTCTCAACTTTCCTAATGCTTCGACCCTTTAATACAGTTTGAGTGACCCCCAACCACAAATTTATCTTTGTAACTACTTCATAAATGATGTAATTTTGCTACTGTAATGGATCCTAATGTAAATATCTGTGTTTTCCACTCGTCTTAGGTAACCCCTGTGAAAGGGTCGTTTGACCCTCCAGAGGTCATGACCCACAGGTTGAGAACCACTGCTCTGGAGCTTGCTAATAATTTCAGGCTTACAGTGGAAACTAAATAAATTTCAGGCTATTACCTTCTCTTGTGAAGCTGTCGTAGGGGTTCTATTGCTGAGATAAAACAGCATGACCAAAAACCAGTTGGGGAGGAAAGAGTTTATTTCAGTTTACAGTTCCACAGCTCAGTCAGTCAGTCAGGGCAGGAACTCAAACAGGACAGGAACCTACATGAAGGACTGATGCAGAGGCCTTGGAGAAGTGTTTACTCACTTGTTCCCTTCTATCATTTAGGATCGGGGGTAGGCACCACCTCCAGCAAGCTGCACCCACCCACATCAATAGTGAATCAGGAAAATGCAGTACAGATTTACCAGAGATCTTATAGGGACATTGTCTCTCCTGAGAATCCGAAGTGACTCTAGCTTGTGTCAAGCTAACAAAACTAACGAGGACAGTGGGGCCAGTAGCACTTTGTGGACAGTGTAAGATCTTTATTTTTGAGCCAGCCATGGTGGAGCCAATTGTAGAACTGAGGAGGCAGAGGCAGGTGGATATATGAGTTTGAGGCCAACCTGGTCTGTATAGGGAGTTCCAGAGCAGCCAGGGCTAGCCAGACCCTGTCTCAAAAAGAGTGCTTGCTACTCCTGTGCAGGACTAGAGTTCCCAGGAGACCTGACATATACTTCTGACCTCCAGGGTGCACACATCTGAATGAAAACCAATCTTTCAATTATTTTATGTAAATGGGTGTTTTGCCTGTATGTATGTCTGTGCCACACAAGTGTGCCTGGTACCTGAGACAGCAAGACGAGGGTGTCAGATACCCTGGAGCTGGAGTTACAGATGTTTGTAAGCTTTCGTGTGAGCGCTGAGAATTGAACCTGAGTGTCCTGGAAGAGTGGCCAGTTCTCTTGACTTTTATTTATTTATTTATTTATTTATTTATTTATTTATTTATTTATTTATTTATTTATTTTGAGACAGCGTTTCTGTGTGTGACAGCTCTTGCTGTCCTGGCTGTCCTCAAACTCACAGACATCCTCCTGCCTCTGCCTCCAGAGTGCTGAGATTAAAGTTGTGTGCCACTACCGCCCAGCGTGTTCTTAACTTCTAAGCAATCTATCTCTAACTCCTGAAAATAAATCTTGTCTGTTTGAGACAGGGTTTCTCTATGTACCCCTGGCTGTCCTGGAACTCACTCTGTAGACCAAGCTGCCCTTGAACTCAGAAATCTGCCTGCCTCTGCCTCCCAAGTGCTGGGATTAAAGGCGTGAGCCACCCACCACACCTGGTTCTGAAAATAAATCTTAAAAAAAGAAAAAGAAAAAAGGGAACCGAGGTTGTATTCTCTGATTTTGTTTGTATGTGGTGTAAGAGCTCGAGTTCCTACAGCTATGCCAGGCTTGGGAAGATAATTTTAAAAAATTGCTGGAAGAAATCCCATTTGCTAGCACACTTACATCTGTCCTCATTTTGAAAGTGTATGGACAAGACTTTAGAGTCGTCGCTTATGCCAAGGTGGCTCTGCCTTTGACAGCTGTGACTTCACAGCCTGGGAGAAAAGAATAGTAAACAAGGCCTGTGCACTACAAGTCATATATTAATGTGACAGGGTCTCTCTAGCGACTGAGGAAAATTCTGAGATCCAATCCTAAAAGCACACCATAAATTCCTGTGCTCTTTGTACACAGAGAATTTGTGTGTTTTAAATCCTGTCACATAAAAGCTTATTACTGGACAGTGAGAGAAAGAGGTCCCCATGACTTCTCTCCAGAGGCCCAGGTAGCAGACTTCTACTGTCCAGAAGGACTGTATTCTTCCCTCTCTGCAACTTGAAAATGTCAACATAGAGAGAGGCACCTGTCTAGCCATTTTCTTTATCAATCTTGTCTGCCACTGTAGAAGGCTTTACAGTTTAAAGAAAGAGGGTGGGAGTTGCCATTTAAAGACAGAATGACTCGGAAAGTCAGCTGTGGCTAAATGGGGCAATCAGTGCTGGCTCCACTGCTTCAGGTAACTGAGGTCTCCTTCAGTTCTCCATTCAGCGAGATACAGAAACAGAAGCTGAAGGCATTGGCATGACTTTACAATAGTTTTAAATTTATTGCTGGTTTATAAAATCTACAACAAACCTGGGCAAAAATCTACAACAAAACCGAGTGGCAAAAGCCTGTTATCCCAAGTATTCCTAAGGACATAATGTTATGAATTATGCACGTGGGGGACCCCCAGCTGGCCAGACCAGG